TAGTTTAATAGATAGAACCTACCAATCAACTTCGATTATAATCATTTATCATGGTTCGTTAACAAGCATTAGCAGCATGTAAATGCTCCTGTGTAATGTGTCTGTTAAAATATCAACCACTCGTGAGTGTAGCCACAAGAAAACACGAACGCACATCTGTTTGTAACTTATCCACTGGTATAAGCGAGACAAGATTAACTGTCGACTATAAATTCATCTTTCTATTTAACCACTATCCACGTGAATGTTTTAATTTTTTTACCACCGCCTGCCTAATTTCCAACTGCTGAGTTCCATGGCCAAACAGAGGATACGAATGCTAGAAATTTATGGTGAGTTTGAACTATACATTTTCTGCAACCTTAGATCACGTTTAGACTGTTCGTCAGGCAGTGCTACGTATTTGGCTTAAATTAATTTTGGACTTATACAAATTCAGTCTACAACACTGTGTTAATCCAAGAATTTAATCAACAGTACCTCGTATATGATACAGATTCAAACTACCGTCTACTTCATATCTCCATTACTTTGAAGTAAGAGTAACCCAGGCGAGTTTCATAACTTCATTAAATTACTTCGTGCTATATTTATGATGCGTAATAACATTTCGTAGTTTCTTTCACGTGGAATACTTATATATTCTATCACTGCCGTCGTTTTAATCAAAATCATGTGCATTTATAACTCTCAAGTCCACATACTGTGGTAAAACATATTACATGTACACAAGCAATCTTAGTCCATGTCTTCAGTAGACACTTTGTTGTACTTAATGTCACTTAACGCTAGGTAATAAGCTCTTTGTATCAGCCTTTTACGAAATGGTCACGTTACCTGAACCATCTAAACTTTAGTTACATTGGTTACGATTTTAATTAATGTTTACTATACTCCTTGTATTTCACACGGTAAATCATGGCTCGATTTCCCTACTACACGACAGTCATTTTAATTCTATTTTCGGTTTATTTGTATACAATACAGGTTTGGAAAATATCTAAACGTCCTCGAAAATTCTCTACGGACCCAACCATAGTTTTCGTATATGTTTTCATTCACACATCCAACTGTTACGCTAATAATACCTAAACGAACGGTCGGTGCAACTGTCAGTATACGTAAGAACGACGTTATTTAGATTTAACTTTGTAGCATATCTGAACTATTGTAGTTATTCTTCTTCGATGTCGTACTTTATTTTATGAAGTATTGTTTCCTTGTGACTGTTACCTAACGGATGATTTCGGTACATCAATCGGCTGTTCAACCACTACTTATAACAATTTTCGGATGGACACAAATCTGTGAATCCACGTTCCTTTCTCCCAGTCAGTCCGTATTGTCACATAAAATATTCATACCCGGTGTTTCCCATCCGACATTATTGTTTAGGCCTCTCTTAAGAATTGTCAGGTCTTTTTGGGCACTTCACCTCAATCGATTGCAGCCTCTCATAAAACTAATCTTTTCCGTCTTCGTTGCCATCATTGGAGTGTGCATAACATTCATAGTAATTCCCTCTTTCTTTGTTTTGAAGGATGCTTTGATGATTCAGGGTCCATGAGATTCTCATCCTATGAGTGGTTTACGTGCTTCTTTAGGCATCATGAGAGCAACACCCAGTGTGTAGCATTTTGCTCTTCGTGATCATAATACAGCAGCATCTTCCCCGTACGTAACATTTGCTATCCAGCTTTGGTCCAATGGATTTGCCTGATTCCAAGAACCGCCAAGTTGTATCTTCTCATTTCCATTGCAGAGTTTAAATGTTTGGATTTGTTTATTCTGGTCAACGTTTTTTCAGCAAGGTTGTTTTCCACGGGATGAGGTCGCGGACCCCATACCCAACTTTTCTCCTTCACCCAAGCTTGGGATCTACAGTAACCCTTGAATAGCTACAAGTGAAGTTGGTTATGTGATCAAGAGACGTAATAAGGTAAAAGATTGGCTTACAGTCACACCCAGAAAAAGAAAATTAAGAAAACAGAGTTAAGTCTCTTACGCCAAATCGGAATGCTGTTAAAACTCCACAGAGATTTAAGACAGACCTCGCTGATAAGTCAGTCACTTTTCATAAGTTAAGAAAATCCTCAGAAAATGAACAAAATGGTAGATTTCATGATAACCTCAGGCAAATTAGGTATTTATTAGGCAAGGTCCTTCCAGAAATAGCATCAGGAGTTGGCATCTGTAAGCTTTACAGAATAGTACAAAAAATGGATTGTGAATGTACTCAAAAGAACTGCCTCTTAAAAGTTGCTTTTCCTTCGTCTGATGAAAGAAACCTAATACTGAGAAACCCACGCAAAGTGATTGGATCCAGAAAACACATCCGTGAGGATCTCAACCTGTTTGACCGCATTAGGAGATGAGCTGCAGAAGTATAAGTAAATGAGCGCCGCCGAAACAGCAAAAACCCCCGTACTTTAATGTTTTTGAAGTGCAAATGTTCGGAGTAAAACGATCCCCAAGCCACTCTGCTGGTAAGGGAAAGTTCTCCACAGAATTAGAGGTGTGCTACACAAATGCTCCCAACCTACTTAATGAAATGGGGGGGCTCAGGACATGTGTGTATATAGAAAAGCCGGATATCACTACCGTCTAAGATACATGGTTAACGTCAGATTGTTTGATAGTGAAATCCAGTTGACTAGTCTTCATCCAGTAGGGTTGATAGACTAAGCCGTAGGTGAGCTGAGGCTATCCTGTACGCGAAAATTGCCTTAATCATACGAGCTGTCAAGACAGTGGTATATGATCTAGGGACATGTAAACTGGTACGCTACAGGCTGAAATGTATACCGCAAGAGACTGAATTACTTATAGTATACCGCAGTCATGAATGTGTGGTAGATGACTTCCTCCTAAGCAAACTTAAGTCCTGGTGTAATAGAGGTGAATGTCATAAAGTAGGCGGCTTTAGGGCACCGAGTATAAACTGTGGAGACTTAGAAGTAGGGTTATCAAAAACATCATTTGATTAAAAATTGTTAAAAACCACATTTGCACTAGCTTTATTCCAGAACATTAGAGATCACACCACATATGACTTTTGAAGCTCCTCGTCTCTCTTGGAGTTAGTCTTTGCGCACGGTGATGATGTCGGCAGAATGACTTTCCTCCCACTCCTAGAGAGAAGTGGTAGTGATCTTATTTAACTTCGTGTCTTAGATCGCCTGTCAAACAGTTGTACCGGCTCGTCCGAACGTATGGGAGGCAGACATGAATGAAACCAATCCCGCAGCATCGGTTGAAAGCTGGATAATTGACTCAGGGGCATCAGTAGAAGAGACATAGACTCATTCCAAGCGGTTATACGTTCAGACAACTCAACCACCTATACTCTGGACAGTTCTGAAGAAACAAAACGGCCACCCTTGGACAGACCGGTATATTTGACGTTTGCTAAGATAAAAGAAGAAATGTTGGAGTGTTGCTATCAGCCTTGGCACAGGAAGTACAATGAAACGCTGCAGGCCGATAAGAAATAACTGTATAACTACAGTTCGGGAAGCTCAGAGAAAATATGAAATGCAGTTGGCACAATCTGCAATTAAGCGGCCTGAGAGACTATTCTCGTACATAAATTGCAGAACAAGGATGCAGCAACGGATTCCCAACTCAACCAAAGAAGGGAGTAGATTTGAAATGGTGGAGTGATCAGAAAACAGCAGAGGCCATGGCAAACTATTTCGGGGCAGTTTTCACTCATGAGCCTCTTCCAGACGAAGAACTAGACTCAAATACCAAGTCAATAAACCGCCTGCTCGCCGTAAACTTTGATCGAGACGATGTAATTAAGGCCCTGAACACATTAGATACGGAAAAATCAACAGCACCAGATGAAATATACACCGAAATCCTGAAACAAATGGCACAATACATTGCAGCCCCACTGACTGCGATTTTCAATATCACCTGGCTAGGGTGAGTTACCTATGGACTGGAAGGATTCAGTCATCACTCCAATATATAAGACAAAATCAGAACAACTTCCATCAAACTACAGATATGTCAGCCTCACTAGTGTCGTAGTTTAAATACTGGAAAGACATTCGTGTAGATCAATAACTTAAACAGTGAACAACATGTTTTCAGAAAAGGTTTACCTTGCAAGGAAGCGATGGACAAAGGCACTAGACAATGGAAAATCAGTGTCTACATAAACTTCCGCAAAGCGTGCGACAACGTGCCGACCAACAGTCTGTTATTGAAGCTGAGAAATCATGGCATTGTCGGACCCCTCCTAAAATGGATTAAGGATTTCATGGTAGGTTGTGGACGAACAGTGAGAGTAAATTCAAATGGCTCCACCCGGAGAACAGTACTTTATGGAGTACCGCAAGGTTCTGTTCTAGGTCCTTTACTGCTATACTGCATGTAAATGAACTTCCGAATACAGCTGAGTCCATAATGCTTCTATACGTTTATAATGTAAAAGTCTTGCGAGAAATAACAGGAGACGCATATGTATACACACTTCAGGCAGACTTAAATATTGTGATTAGCTGGTCTAAAGAGTAGCTGATGCCTTTCAAAGCGGCAAAGTGTGTCTACACGCACTTTAGAGATACAAAGGCACATAGGTACAGCATAGTGGAAGTACTTGTACCCATGGTAAAGGTTCGCAAGAATCTTGTGGTATCAATGAGTTATGAACCCGCTACCCGAAGAACTATTGTCCGCACTTTTAATTGACCCACTCGAGAAAAGACTATACACTCACAGAAGCAAACCTGAAAGGGAATAGTATAGGCCGTAGGCCTTCTGTCTTTACTACACAAATCTGAATCTGAGTATGAATCTCTATCCTGGACTTACCAACCCCTTAATTAACTGTCAGGTCCATGGGAATCGATTCAATAGATTGACTAAAGTATACAATGGATGATAACGGAGACTTGGAACCATACCATAACATCCAGAAAATGGAGTAAGCATATTACGTAGTTAAATAGATATTGGACACTGAGGTGGCCTTGCACGACCTTGAGCGTATGACTTTTCCGAAGGCTGTTTTTTTCGGAGATTCTCTAACCCAGGTGATAATGGTTTGAGATTTTTTTTCATCTATCCTCCAAAGTAGTAATATTGTGACTTATATTCACATTATCTGTCAAAATTAGCTTAAATATTTATATTGCAAATGTCTTTGAACTGTATCTTTACACCACCCAATCTCCCGATTTTGGGGAAGCCGCTATAGAAATTCTGGGGAAATGGCATCAAAACCCCTAAATCTCCCTCCAAACCTTGGGTAAAGTCATTTGGCTCCAGGGATTTCCCCAAACTTGGGAGATTATTGATAAGTCTGTGGATTTTAGGTCTATCTAATGAGAGCTTGGAGTTAGGTGGCTAAAGTATCGTACTAATGAGCCTGTCGAAGTCGAACACCAGTTGGTAGCTCCTTAGCCTAAATGTTACAGGTATCACGTCAAAAGTTCAGATCTGCATGAAGGTCGTTTGGCATTGATCAACGTCAAATATATTTGCTGTCGCAAATATTACTTTATGAACTGGTCCATTATCGTAAGAACTTCTTTTTCAGCTGCAAAACAGCCCCTAATTGCTTACTAATCCGCATTACTACCGTAAACTGCTCGGAGCTATGATGAGACGATTCAATTAAACCCAGTTTTATTTCAATTGTGCTTCCACCGTATATAGGTTGGTCATATACGCCTCCCAAAATAAGAACTTGAATTCCAAACGTCTTGATCAAAAACGTCCGCAATCATGTCCTGCATACAATAATTTGTATTTATTTTATATCTCGATTTCAAACAAGCACATCGTCCAAACTTTAGAAACTTTGTTATACCTTAGTCCTGAATGGACTAGTTTACTTATTTTTACCATTTATATAGTATCAAATACCTTGTGTTGAATATGATAGGTTGAAGTTTTAAACCTTAGAGTTTTGACTTTCCTCCTAAATTAGTATTTTATTCACAATAGATATTAGTTGATTGAATGTATCATAATGCACTTAACTAATATCATGTTACCTTCGACGTTTCATATTATATAACACATAGAGTCACAGTAGGTCTTTAAAATACTCGAGTTTACTGTGACATTAGTGATCGTTTACTGTAAATGACGATATAATCGGTCAAAAAGTTTCATGAACTGATATATATATACTGAGAAACTATAATTATGTTACTGTAACGTCAGTGCTATTCAGAATAGCAACCGGAAATTGAAGTGTGAGGTTAAAGCTCTCAGTTGTTTACTAGTAGGCAAAATAGTAATAATTATCAAATTAGGATTGTTCTTCCCCGTAAATAGAACAAAATTTCATTGCAGACTAAGAGTGTCTTACGAAGAGATAATTCAATTGAACAGGGGGTAATATTGAGAACCTCACTTGGCCATAGATGCAGCTTTAATACGATAATCACTTTCGCATATCGTGATGACGCAGTCAAGCAATATTTGCTAAATTACTTGTTACTATGGGTCGTATTATAGCATCCTGGTTAGCTCTACCACACTAGAACTAACCAGGATGCTATAATACGTTCTAGTGCGGTACGCGAACGAAGCTGCTACCTTGACGCGGTAGTCGCGCTTGCCTATCGTGATGACCCAACCGAGCTATATTGGCTGGAACATATGTTCCTGTAGGTTCTACCATGCCAGGCAGGTCGATTGGAGAACGGTAAGACTAAAAGCAGCAACTCGAGGTCTGAGGGTGGAGTCGTACTGCTGACTGTAGAGGGGTGTGACAGCAGTAAGGTGTTTCCCTCGGACAACCAGCATCTGCAGCGATGCTGCCTTCCCACAAGGAATGAAGGGGTTAGAAAAGATCGACCCTAAAAACGTCACACCTCACCTTACCTCACGGATTTCCGTCTCAGGCGGTAAGGCCTTTTGAAGAACGGAGCTAACACATTAAAAACCTTCCATGAAAGGGCCGTGCGCGACCGGCCTCAAGCAGTTGTCCCTTGGGCTCTGCGGTCACGCTCCCAGGTCGTTAAGACCAACACTAATCCGACTTCTTTTTCAGGTTCCTCAAGAAATACCCTTCCACGGTGTGGGCAGCCGGGAAGTGATATCAGCCCTCATACCCGTAACAGCGCACGAGACCAAGTTGGTCACATTCAAATCCGTCCTACACCTCCTAATACCTCTCTTATCTCCCCGACTAACCCTCACGTCTCTTTATCACCTCGCATCGCTAGGGCAAACGATTCGAGTACGTGGAACGCCATTCCTGGTCTCCTGAAACCACGCTCTAAACTACACGTAGGAGCTTTTAACGTACGAACACTTTGCCAAATAGGACAACAGGCTTCCTTAGCTAGGACTTTAGAATCTCGCACCATCAATGTGTGCTGCGTCTCCGAAACGCGCATACAGGATCCGAGTAGCGTCACTCACTTGACCTCACCATGTCAAAAACAAAGAACCAACTCGATTCACACTTCGTGTATCTGGAAGCCCAGATGCTGCTTTTCGTGGACTCGCTGGTGTAGGTATAGCATTGAATCTTAGGGCAGAACTAGCTCTCTTAGACTGGATCCCAGTAGACAGTCGTCTGTGCGCTGTCCGACTAAACGGAACAGTAAGGACTCGGAAAGATAGGGACACTCGTCGTTGCCTCTTCGTCGTCTCTGCCTATTCTCCCACTGACTGCAGCGCAGATGATGTAAAAGATGAGTTTTACAGAAGGCTCTCCGACCTCCTCCTAAAAGCTAGGCGCTCTGATGTAGTAATAGTGGCCGGTGACTTTAATGCTCAAGTAGGTAAACTAAGCGAAAGGGAAAGACACCTAGGTGGATCTTATAGCGTCATGGTTCAACGAACAGATAATGGCGACCGTCTGTTGCAGCTATGCTCAGATAACCGCCTGTTCCTTGCAAATACTAACTTTAAGCATAAGCAAAAACATCTTTTAACATGGCGACCCCCTAATTCGTCCCAATGTTGGACCCAAATAGATCACATCGCTACCAGCCACCGATGGAGGGGCTCGATAGAAGACTGTTGCTCATTCTGGAGCACATGCTTAGATTCAGATCATGCTCTAGTACGAGCGCGTATCTGTCTGCGTCTTACTGGACGTAGGAAAGACGCTGCAAGTAAACCTCTTAGGGCCCTACTTAATGATAGTCAAGCTAAGAGCATATTTCAGGAACAACTAGGAAAACAGTTAGGCAGCCATGTATGTGATGCCCACCCCGATGCAGCATGGAATGATATCCGAAAAGCTGTGGAAACAGCAGTGATATCTGCTAGTAAGATAAACCAGAAGGTTAGGGAGCAACACTGGATCTCAGCAGCATCTATCGCACTGATAGATGCTCGGAAACTCATTTCACCTGGCTCTGAACATAATGAAGAGCGGAGTCAGCTTAAACACAAGCTGAAAAGAAGCCTACGCAATGATCGCGAACAGTGGTGGGTAGCGAAAGCAAGAGAGATGGAAAAGGCAGCGGCAATAGGTAATAGCAGACAATTGTTTTGTCGCTACATGAGTTCTTTCCCGACCGTAGCTGCCACCTTGATGTGGTAGTCGGGCTTGCCTGTCGTGATGACTCGACCAAGCTATGTTGGCTGGAACTTATGTTCCTGTAAGTTCTACCATGTCAGGCAGGTCGATTGGAGAACGGTAAGACTAAGAGCAGCAACTCAAGGTCTGAGGGCGAAGCCGTGCTGCTGACTGTAGTGAGGTAAGGGATCAGTTCAAGTGGCCTTCAGCCACACTTCGGTTTCCCACGATCTCCAGTCGACCTAATTGGCAAGTTGATGTAAGTCCCCCAACTCTACGAAGTTGAAAAAGCCATGGGAATTTTGAAGCGTGCGAGAGCAGCAGGCCCTGACAGGTTTACTCCTGAGATTTTTAAGGATTGAGGTCTTAGGTAGAATTTGGGAACTGGACGTAATCCCATCTAACTGGTCTCAATCACTGATTGTGCCAGTTTTTAAGAAAGGAAAAAAGTCCCCTTGTGACAATCACAGAGGAATCAGTTTGACTAATATAGTGTCTAAAATATTAGCCTCAATAATACTTCGACGCCTAACTAAAGCTCGTGCAGAGCAGACTAGAGAAAACCAGGCTGGTTTACGACCCGGACGTGGCTGCATAGACCAGGTATTCACACTAGGTCAGGTCCTAGAACACAAACACACATTCAGAAGTCCTACAACAGTGGTATTTCTCAACCTTGAGGCGGCATTTGACTCTGTTGATCGTGAGGTTCTATGGCAGTGTTTGTCACTGAAAGGAGTACCAAAGAAGTACACTAACCTTACAAAGGCTCTTTACTCGAGCACAACTAGCCGAGTCAAAGCTTATGGCGAACTGTTGTCAGAATTGATTACCTCAAGTGGTGTTCGTCAGGGCTGTCCACTCTCCCCATTCTTGTTCAACTTTGTGGTCGACGTACTTTTAGAGATAACACTTTCCTCGTCTAGATTTCCAGGGGTTGAACTTCTACCGGGAGGTTCACTTGTTGACTTGGAATATGCCGATGACATAGTTCTGTTTGGTGAAGACGCTGACAAAATGCAGAGTCTTCTGACCACTGTAAGCAACAATGCAAGCATGTTCGGGATGCGATTCTCTCCCTCGAAATGCAAAATGTTGCTTCAGGATTGGGTTACATCGACACCCGAACTAGTGATAGGGAGTGAAGTAGTTAAGCGTGTCGATCGCTTCATTTATCTTGGAAGTCTCATCAGCCCTTGTGGTCTGGTGTGTGACGAAATCTCAGCACGGATACAGAAGGCTCGAGTAGCTTTTACCAACTTGCGTCATTTATGGCGTAGGCGAGATATCCGTCTATCAACCGAAGGACGTGTTTACCGCGCAGCAGTTCGTTCCGTCCTACTTTATGACAGTGAAACATGGCCGGTAAGAGTAGAGGATATCCGTAGGTTACTAGTATTTGATCATAGGTGTCTTCGAAATATTGCTCGTATATCCTGGGACCATCGAGTAAGTAACACAGTTGTTAGGAAACGGGTACTAGGTAAGGATGGCAAATCAATTGATGACGTAGTGAAACTTCATCAGTTGAGATGGCTGGGA